CTTTTCCCTGGGGTACTCGGAATTAGGGAGGTGGCAGAGGAGCGAGCACAGGCTGAGGTGAACAGGCATTAGCAGGGCGGCTGGTGAGGGCAAGGAGCTGCCGAGGAGCCTGGAGGGGCACAGAACCCCCGGGTACCCCCTCCACCAGCACCCGTACCCTGCACACACCGACAGGCACGCACCCTATCTCTCACACACATACACACAGCTGTACGTGTATAAAAGCCCCAGGGAAAAAAAAAAAAAAAAAAAAAAGGAAAAAAAAGATTGTGAAAAACCTTTATTATCCTCAATCCCATCTATTGTTAATGTGATCGTGAGTAGGGAGTGTTTGGAGAATTCATTTGTGATAAATATTTATACCCCGTGTTTTTGGGTTGTTATCTGCAAAGTGTAGCTGTTTGATCTGGTGTAGTGCTTTTTTTAGGTCATTTACATTCCCTTTCGTAGGAGCCCTTGTCCGATAGCAGCTATCACATAATTATGTTTCTTTTGCTTATCCCTAATCCTGTCAAACCACCTACTTATCTCTAATTTCCTGTCCATTACCCTTATTCTTTGAGCTTAGATCTCTAATGCAGGACAGAGATGGCTTCAGAGGCTCCATGGGGTGCAGGGGCATCTCAATATTGCCAGCTGCATTAGTGCAGTAATAGGGCCTCGCTGTGCAGTGCCTGGACTGCCCAGGGGCACTGCAGGAGCCCCAAACCCCAGTGTGGGGGCTGGGGGAGGCTACCGGAGTGGGGCCAACACTTGCGGAGATGTACAGAGGGGTCCTGTGTCATTCTGGACATCCACACACCTCGGGGGCTGCAGGGAGGGGATATGCATGCCCTGGAGGCAGCAGTGCCTGGTAAGGAGTGGGGTGATCCCCTTGCTGGGTGATGCCACTCAAAAAGGAGCACAGGTCCCAGGCTAATCCACAACACTGCCCCAGGCTCAGCAGCACACAGCGAGGCAGCAGGGACGTCCTGCACGGCTGTGTCGGGGGGGACAGCCTTGGAGGAGAGAGCCTGTGCTCACCTCGGAGCCATCGCAGCCACCAGCACGGATCACGTCCCAGTGTCTCCAAGGCAACCTTGCATTTGGATGACAGAGGCAAGAGCCAGGGCACAGCGAGGGTGTCACCTCACACAGCCGGGCTGCCCCCTGCTCCATGTCCAGACCTTCCTGCCAGCCTGCCAAGAGCAGCGTTTTGGATGGGACCCTTCGCTGTGTGGCCACTCCAGTTGGCTGCTCTTCAGCAGCGCCTCTTGATACATCGTGATGTGGGTCTGATAAATATTAAACACTATGTCTCCCATGGTGTCGATCCTGTGTCCTTCATCTCCTAGAAAAGAGAGACTGCTTGGAATCACGCTTCCCATATTTATTGCTCCAGCAAGAGCTTCTCAGATGGCCCAGCATTCGTATCGGTCTGCGTCAGCCCAGCTGGAGGACTAGCAGTGCTTCTCTCTGACGTTGGGATGCTGTTCTCTTTAAGTGCAATGAGGCAGAAGTAGTGATGATGATAAAATTCAGCCTCCAAAATCCAGATTTCCAGGTCACTGCATCTTTGCACAGAGCGTCAGAAGGTGAGAGATGGTCAGACAAACTCAATGGCTCCCTTGGATGCAACCTGGACTCTCAGATCTGCTCCATCCGCTCCATATTGCTGGGAGCAAGGAGCTCCCACTCCGTTGGTGACTGCTGCTGCCACGTGGTTAGTATTTGGAGCACATCCTCCCCTCACTATGTGCTGGCACACAGGACAGAGCCATTTGTCTCTCCCATCCTCTTCTGCTCTTTGCCATTACTTCCCTCCACTCTGTGAGCTTGAATGTGATTCCTGGTCCCACCTGGTAGTCACCAGTGGGAGACCTCTCTGAACCAGCTGGCCACCCCACCCGCCAGCATGGGTGGCTGCAGAGGTTGAAAAGAGAGAGGGAGGCAAACTCCCACAGCACAGGGCCCTCGACTGCTCAGTTCAGAAGCGAGGCAGTCTTCATCTTCAGGTGGTTGCAAGCTGCAAGCGCGTCTTCCTCTGCACAGCGTGTTTGTCTGCTTCTTCCCCCAGGCACCCACTAATGGCCACACCACAGTGGGACAGAAGGACACATCCTCCGAGAGATACCCCATTCCTCCAGGACAGCAGTGGGACTTGCGGACTGGGAAGGAGTGCAGCAGAGACTGGACTGAAACATCCAGTTGCTGTTTCTCTTCCTATCAAGGAGAACCAGAAACCCAAATCTGAACCCTAGAAACCCAGAGCTGTCTGAAATTCAAGGCTGAGGTTTGCATTTCAGTCCCTGAAGCTCAAGGTCACCTCTGGCCCAGAAGGACTAGGACTTTGTAGGGCTGGGAGAGGGGAGGATGCTCTTCGTGAGGGGCCGGGGTCCCCAAGACAGCTGTTGATGAGAGCATGGGGGGACACCCCACCAGGACCAGCTGACCCCCAGTTCTTGGTGTTTCTGGTGTCGGGTGCCCAACCTGCAGCAGCCCGAATGGTGCTGACTTTCAGAGCACGGGTGCTCCAGCTGGTATGGAAAGTCTTCTCAGCCTGTGCCCCTGTACGACACGATACCTCTCTAACTTCTGCCAGTGTATCTTAATAACACACGGTTCATTCCTTAAACATAACCTATTTACAGTGATTTTCTGGCAGGGGAGCACCAGCTTTGTACCCACCACGAAGGGTGGCAGAGCATCCCACCCTGAAGTGCAGCCAGGTTGTGGCTGAGAGCCAGTGCCACCTACCATGGGTTTTATATTAGAGTTTCACTCCAAATAAAGAGCGCACCGTTGGGGAATCTGTCTGCCACGGATGCCTCTGCCTGACTGCAAATAAATGGCTCTGCCGCCAGACAACGAGTGCACATCACCTCCACCGAAGGAACCGTAGGTGGCATGCAAGGCCGGACTACGGGACGGCTCTCCCCAGCTTTGCTGTCAGACCGCCGCTGTCTGCATTTCAATTCTCTTTTGGCTCTGAGCACCAGCAGTCCCGGGTTTATGGGAGAGTGCTGCTGCCTGCTTGCTGCCTGCTGCCTGCCTCTGCAGCCCCCCCCCCCAGGGAGGCAGCACCCCCTGATTGGCGGGATCAGAAATAAAAGGTTTCCTGTAATTTGGGGTCAGGTATGGGAAGGGATCACCTTAACCCTTTTTTCCCACCAGTCACAGGTTGCGCTGGGTTTCGCATCTCTGCTTCAGCTCTCTGGATCCTACTGCCTCTCTGTAAACCAGAGATGGAAACCACAGGTCAGTCAGGGACAGGGGCCTGATCCTGCACCAGCAGCTCTGCTCTCCATCGCTGCCTTGCTCCTGCCTCCCTGCCTGCCGCTGCAGGAAGCTTCTGTTGGCTGTGGGGTACCCGGCGCTGGTGGGGTCAGCGAGAAGCACCAAACTGGGGTACCCCGACCAGCAAGACCAGAGGGGCAGCAACACTGACAGGGCTGCAGCATCAGCTCAGGACCAGAAGGTTTCCTTCTGCCCCAAATTGCAGGAGGGTGCAGGACAGATTTAACCCAGAGAGCTTTGCCTGGCTCCATCCTCCATCGTGCCCACGGAAGGCAGGGAGGGAGCTCAGCATCGTCACATCGGCCACCACTCCGGCTTCGGAAGCGCTCAGGCACTGCCGGCTCCGAGCCTGGCAGTGTTTTTCCAGGGCTTTCAAGTCTGACTCACGCTGGCTCCCCTTGATGCTGGGCTTCTGACACACGCATGGTTTGCGGAGAACAGTGGCTCAGTAATTAGCAGAACCGGCTGGCCACAAGTGGAGAGATGATACTGTGCATCGCTACCAGCCCGAGCCCTCAGCATCTGAAGTGAGAGCTTCGTCTGCAGGACTTTGATTACTGAAGTGACATTGAAAGACAGCAGATCCCTGTGTCCTCCAGCCCAGACATCCCTCCCAAAGGAGGAACTCAGATATGAAAGGCTGCATTTATCTTTTTATTACAAAAAAAATGTATATAGGAGCTGGGTACTTGTCCCCGACACGGCTATTCTCAAAGGGAAAGTTGTGACTTTCCCCTTCCCTGCGTTTGCACGTCAGGTGCTGGCAGCACCCAAATTGGCTGTGACGAAACATGCTGGGGATGTGTCTTGTGCTGGGGATAAGCCACAGGCTGGGCTGCAGCCTGCAAAGCAGGACTGCACAGTGCCGTGATGAGCGGCAATTTTGGGATCACTTAAAAACCAAAGAGCCAGCCCGATTCCATAGCAAAAACTTGAACGCAAGCAATCCAAGCAATCCAAAGGCAAGATGCAGCAAAGCCATAGCTTTTTTTAATCCTTCCTTGTTTTCGTTTCCCTCCTCCTGGGACTGGCAGGGATGGGGCACACCTTGTTATTAACAGGGCCGCTGTTCCCATGCGGCCGCCCCAGCTGGAAATCTGATATCCTGCAAGTCTCACACCACAGCCAGCTCCCAATAAATGCCTGTAAGACACAGGTCATGGTATAGGAACTGACACAGCAAAGCAAAGCAGGGCTTTGTTCAGCCCAGTAAGCAGAACCAAATCTAATCTAAGTGAGAGACTGCAGCAAGGGGACCTGCACGGTGAAGAATTTATTTTCTGTGCCCATCAGGATCACTAACTTAATACCCCCAAACCCTGCACCTGGATGGTCCCAGCCTGCCTGAAAATGGGCAGACCGGTGCACTTTTATCCCTCCTAACATCTGCTAAACAACTTACATAGCCTCTACTGACATGAGCAGTGAGTCTCTCCCATAAAAACTGAGGCAAAGCTTGTCCCTAGCACCTGGAGCTGCCTGCCGAGTGCTGCCAGGCCCGGTGAGGAGAACAGCAGGAGGAGTTCAAAGGGAGCCTTGAAGAGCCGCAGCGTGGAGCACAGCCCTGTCTTGCTGGGTGAAACACCCTCAGCACTGCCTTCAGTGTCCTCCACAGCGCGGGAGTCACCCTCCCGCGTGACCGAGACTTGGCAAGGCTGAAACCGAGCCCTTCCCCTCACCCTTCCTAAAATCCGCTGCTTCCTGCTCGGGCTTTTTCCCAGCTATTTATAGAGCAGGGCTGACAAGGTGCCCCTGCTAAGAGCCTTCCCCTGGGAAACAGCCGCCTCCGTGCATGCTTGCCGAAGCTCATCAGCGGGGCGTGCGGCTGCCCTGGCTCTCCTGGCGCCACTGCCCATCCCTGCCCGTGCGTGCAAGGGGCAGAACACCAGCCCCCGGCACAGCCTGCCCCACGCTCGTCCCAGCCTTTGCACCCGTAACGACTGGACCCAGTTCAAAACATTTGGCAGAGGCTTGGGCAAGGCAGGTGCCACCAGGCTTTTGGACTTTCGGTGGTGAAACGTTGCTCAATGGGTCTGACCCGTCGGCACTGTACAAAGCTGGGCAAGAATCATCCCTGTCTCGTGGCAGGGGAAGAAGTCACCCAACAGGTGAGCGCAGCCACGTCCCTACCCTCCGCCCAGCTGCCAGTGCCCGGCCACCCCCAGGAAGGATGCAGACACTGCTCCCCTTTTGGGGATGCTGCTCCGTTCTTCTCCACTCTCCTCCCTCCGCCCTGGCTCAGCTCCACCTCCAGCTTCCCCAGCATCCCCATCTGCTCTCCTCCGGCAAAGGCTTCCTGGGACCCAGCCAAAGTGGATTTCTTACCATGAGCAGCAACTCCCCTCGATGCCTTTGCTGCACCGCTTGTCCTGATGCAGCCCCTGCCCACAGCACAGTCCCTGTGGCAGGGATGGGACAGGTTGCTTGTCCCGCCCTGCCTGGACCCGCAGGCGCTGCCCCCAGGGACCCTTGGAGCATCTCCCCATGAAGTCAGGCAGGGGTCTGCCAGGGACCTCCGGGAGGGATGCAGACCCCTCGGCTCAGGTCCCAGCTGTGGAGGGGAAGGTCTCCATGTGTCAGGGGCCGAATGTTTTCTCCCTGTGAGAGGAAAGCATGATGTCTGGATGAAAACAGGGATTAAGAGGGGATTCACTGCCTGTGCTGTACCTGGTCTGAGTAACAGACACCGTTCCCCAGAGCTGTCAATCTGGTACCTTTCACCAGCACTAAAATTCAATTAGTTAAAACAACAACAACAACTGTGGCTCCAGACAGCTTGTGCCTAACACATTTGATCCCTTTTATTACTCAGCACTGCTCAAAACCTAGCCAGCAACATCCTAGCTGACTCCCACTAGTTTTCCCATTTTATTCTACCAGGATTAAGTCAACCCTACAGTCTCCAGCTGTTTTGTGGTTGGGCCTGGATACATCTTTATACTCAAGCTACATTATTAAGTGGATTGTGGCCAAATTGACAGAGCTGCTTCAGGGAGGACAAGGCCATTTAGGTCAATGATGGTCCTGCCAGCTGGAGAGACACTCGGGACTCATGATTTGCTAGCAAAGCTATGGACTGTTGTCTTAGCCTCACTTGATGTCCCAGAGGGGGCTCCTGTGAAAGCCCTGACTCTAGCAGGAATGCTTGATTTCTTGGCAGGGAGATGTAACAATCTGTCTTGGAGTATTGCAGGAAGATTTCGTGTTCGGTGCGGTTTGTCCATAGCATCACTTCATCGTCTGATGCATAATCCGCTCTTTGGCCTTTTCCAAATGGAGTCTCCACTGGATGCTGGCAGCCCCCACCGCCCCTGGCAGCTGGACAGTAGTTAAATCTAAAGACAAGAGCGTATCCTTCGGCTTGCATGAGCTCACACTTTTTTGGAGACCAGGCAGTTGTGCTGCAAGGCGCGGTGATGCCATGCTCCGGGCGCAGCTCTTCTTCCCACCGGGTCACCCACAGGCGTGATGACACGCGCTGCGGTGCGGCGCGACCAGACACGGCGCGATGCGACGATGTGACGCGATGCGATGCGATGCGATGCGATGCGATGCGATGCGATGCGATGCTTGCCCATCAGCCAAGCCGATGTGTCCTCCTGGGGTGCTCGGGGAGCACAGCCCTGCTGGGAGAGCCAGCAAGCTGCCTGGAACACGGTTTTGGCTGAGCCACATGGGATGGCTCAGGAGGAGAGTTAGCTAAACAAACAAGAGCCCGATTTTCTCCCAGGTTAAAACACCCTTTGTGTTGTTAATGAATAGCAGTGGAAGGGTCACGCAAAGAAAGGGATGAAAGCTCCATCCATCAGTTCATTGGAAACAAGACTGTCTGCGTGATTTATGAAACTGCTGAACACAGGGGGTTAGTATGGGGCTTGCTCTTCTCAGAAACAAGCAGCATCTAGATACAGCGTTGAAGTGAACGAGTGGTAACAGGTCACCATTTGCTGCTGGTACGTGCTGGAGGGTGGGAGAAGGCTCCCAGCCTATGCATCACCTGTGTGGCTGCAGCTGGTCCACCCTGGTACCCTGAGGCCTGTGCTGAAATAACTCAGTGATCAACTCCTGGCATGGCAGCTCTTGTTCTTGAGTAAGAGCAGATTATATTGAAATGGTTAATTCATGGGTGGAAGTGGGTAATGCTTAATGTGGACAGTCCCCCCCCAACATGGAGCAAGAACATCCCCACTGGGAGTTAACTGCACAATAGCTGTTCCCTGTCTGGAGTTGTCCCGCAGGAATCTCACGCCCTACATACATGCAGTTTAGCTTTCCTGTGTGGACATGTCCTAAAATCTTCTGGGCTCTTCCAGAGCCTCTGCTTGCCCGGTGGTGCTGGCAGCTGGGTGAGGGTCGCAGCGAAGAGCCTTTCCTGGCAGTGAGAGAGGCTGATGTGCATTTACCTTTGGAAAGCTGTAAAGCTGATTCTCCTGCAGTACAATAACACCACTTCCATGTGTGACTCATATTTTTTCCCCCTGCCTTGGTCTTGTAGTTTTTCTAATTACTGCGAGCTTTGCAACTGTGAACATGTAATGTTCCAGAAATGTGTGTGTGATTCACCTAATGCGGGGAGCGGACTTCCAGCCAAAAGGGACTCGGAGATTTTTCTGGCATCAGCCTGCGACCTGGAGAGCAGCCAGAAAAACTCACCAAGGTCATTTCTTTCTTTCTCTTCTTCCTTGTGTTCCTTTCTTTCCCTCAGCCCCTCTGCTCCCTCCCCTCTTTCCTCCAAACAAGACTCAGGCAGCACCTTGTTTATTACTCGTCAGCATTCCCTCTATAAAACCTCCCCAGAAATGCATACCACGCTGCAGCTGCGCTTCTGCCAGCGGCTCACTCTGGGCCCTTCGTGCGTGGCCCCCCGAGAGCACCCCCCGTCCAGGGCCACCGGCACAGCCGCGGTGGCGGCTTCGGCTGGGACACACCAATCTTCCATGAGATGCGATCAGAAGTTCCCACGTTTAGGAACTTGGTTTCCAAAAGGATTTATGCACAAAGTTCCTTAGAAACTCCTGTAACAGTTGTGTGTGTGTGTGTGTGTGTTCATCCACCCATCCGTGTCCGTCTGTCCGTCCATACCCCAGCTCGCACCACCCAGCTGCAGAGGCAGAGGCAAGCAGAGGGCACACCAGAGTGGGAGCCTGGCCCCCCCCAGATCACAACTTGCCCACCTCACTCCTACACCCGGCCCAGCAGTGGCCATGGTGGGAGACGTGAGGGGAGAAGCTTGTGCAGACGCAGCCTGAGGGCTCCTGTTGTGCATGGAAATAATCTGGCATCCCACGAATTTTTATGAAAGCAGCAGCAGCAGCATTTGCGGCTGTTATCAGCTGTAACAGGTTAGAGTTAGACACAACAGCGTCTGCCAAGGGGAAGGGAGGAGGGGGGACCAAAACGCATCATTTATCAATGCCTTGTTTCAGCCCAACGGGACAGCGGCGTCCCATAGGAGTGCCTCTCCTCACCCAACATCCCCTCTGAGGAAAGGGCAGGATGCTCTGACCTCTTGCCTGTGTTCATGTAAGTTCTCCGCCAGCACAAAATTCCCATTTGCACAGCGCCTACAGCCCCTCGTCCCGCAGAGTGATCTGACGGCGCAGACGGAGAAGATGAGGTGGCACCGGCCAGCAGAATCCTCACCTCAGTTCTCCAGCCACCAGAGTTGGCACAGGCATGGGTCCCTGCTTACGTGAGGCTGGAGGGGTGGTGGGACACTCAGTAAGCCCGAAGGCTCTGGAGTATTTTCCCACTAAAGAACAGGCCACCTGTCTGTATCTGCACCGCACACAGCCAGTTTGGAACAGCCATCAGAGCTTGGGAGTCCCAGCACACCCCCGCCTGGGAGATGTTTCTGTGACTCAGAGACACCCACCCGATGGTCTCATCCGGGCTGGGGAGGACAAGTGATGGTGTTGAGGAGGTAGCCGGGATCATTACGTATGATTTTGTGTCTCCTTCTTGCTGCATTACAAGCTTATATCTCCCCTACCAGCCAGCCCTCGCACCGCTCTGTGTCTATCCACCCAGCACTGGCAGCTCTTCCCACTTTCCCATCCCACTCCCCTTCCCCGTGCAAGCCACGAGCGCTGAGACTCATCCCCCCCCACTGCACCAACTCTTTTCCCACCATAGGACTCTCAACAGAGGTGTTTTATCTGCAGGAGCTGCTAATCCCTGAGGTGCTCGGACCCAAAACCAGTGGGGAAGGGCTAGGGACGGCTCTCCCCTGGCATTATGAGAACAGCCCAGATTACCTGCAACCTACAAAGACACCCCTTAGCAGCAGCCCGAATTACCCTGGAGGTCCCAGAGAGCAGATGTGAAGGGCTTTCAGATGCTTTCTTCATGTAGTCAGCAGCTGGGAGAAGGGAGGTTCAGCTCTTCAGTGGAGGAGGGCATGCAGAGGTCTGAAGGCAACTCCAGTACTGCCTTGCCTGTAGTGTCTAGAGAGAGTGTTTCATACTGGGCAGGATGATGGTGCCTTGGGAGGAGAGGGGTCACAGACATTAGCCCCCCAGGAAAGCCTTTCAGACCCCAAATGCTGGCTCTCCCTGTTCCCAGCACTATCCTGCCTTCTCCCTTGCTTTGTGCACAGATGATGCTCTCACTGGACTTTATCAGCTTTCTCTGATCAATCCATCTCCTCCCCTGCTGAGAATCGGAGTTCATTAGCCTGATTGCACCAGCCAGGACGTTGAAAAGCAGGATGGGACACATCAAAGATCACAGAAGGTGAGACACCACCACAAAGTTACAGTGGGTTGCACAGTCAGGCATGATGCTTTTCTGTCACATAACACCGCATCCTGGGCTAGGCTGAAGGGAGGATTACAGCCCCCTCAGACCTTCCCTCCCAGAGCAGCTGGGCAGCATCATTTCCCCCCACATCCTACAGTGTTGAGGTGACAATTTTGCAGAAAAATCACTGCATTTTGCAACACGTGCATTTTCAGCCAAGCAGTGTGTGTCGGTGGGTAAACACACTGCGGTGTGAGCACAAGGGATACTTTGGACTGTCTCCCCTAACAGCATTTTTCTGAATTCTTCATGTCTGAGATCACAGATGAAGGCAGAGTTTAAAGCAGTGGCCAGATCACTCTTTCACAGGCCTAGAACAAATACACTAAAAGCTTCCCCTGTGTGTGCGCAGATTAAGTCGTTAATGAATATTTTTGCTAAGCATCAGAAATCTGGCTGGCTTCGGAGCACAGCTCAGCCAAGACATTGGAGATTTGGCTGAAAAGATTCAACAGCAACCAGCAACAGAGCTGGGGGCCTCTGCTTGCTGGAAGGACACACTGGTTAGGCCTGCAAAAGTGCTCCAGCTCTGGGGCCACAGGTACCTGACTGCATGAGGGGGAAGCTTAATGTCCTGCCCCGGTGCAGCCAGGAGTGTGCTGGGGAAGGGGACACCCAGTTTACAGGCAGGGCTGGCTCCTCCAGAGAAAAGAGGGAGAACCTGCACGGATGCTCAGCCGAAGGGCAGCTACCAGCTGGACACAGGCTCCCACTCGTTTGTATGGAGAAAGAAAGGATTTAGGTCATGGCACCTCTGGCAGGTGAGGTGAAGGTTGGGCTGTGATGAGGAGCTGTGAAGCATCCGTGGTGCTTCAGGCAGGCCTTTACCACAGGGTCCAGCTACATGCCCAGGGCCAGAGCAATCTTACTTCAGCACTGTGGCACTTCACCAGCCTGATCCTACACCTGCCTCTCCAGAAGAGTTAATTAGTCCAGGGCAGACTTGCGCTAATGAGTCCAGAGTGGCTGGGACTCAGCACTAGACAGTTTGGGACTCAGCACTTGCCTCCCACCTCGCCTTGTGCCCCGAAGAGCCGCTCCAAGGAGCAGCACGGCTTCACGAGGATGCCAGTCACAGGCTTTGCTGTTGTTGCCTGCAAACTGGGGGATTTACATTCGATTTGCGTCTAATTTCTCAGTTAGCAAGCAGACAGCAGCGAGGACTTCTGAGCTGTTTACCGAAATGGGTATAAGAAGACGTGTGCTTTCAGTGTGACTGTCCGCACACACCCCGTGGAAAAGCAAGTTTAAGCTACTTTACAGAGAAGGCAGAAGGCAATTTGTAAGGTTCTGCAAATCACTGGGGACTGCAAACTATTGTTGGCAAACACTTGGATATCCACTGAGCATGTACGCACCTGTGAGTGTGTGTGTATGTGTGTGCACTCAGAGGTGAGCCCTGTACAGGGCACACCCTGGGAGAACCCATGAAAACTGGGAAAACCGGGTTCAGCAGGCTCTTTGGTATCAGAGGTACTGCTGAAAAGCAAGCCTTCTGTGCATGGGTAGATGGAGGTCTGCATGTCCACTGGGAAAAAGATGGGGGTCTACAAAAAAATGGGGAAAAAAGGAAGTTAAAACCACCTTGATATGACAGTAACTTGCTCCGTCTCACGTTTTCCAGGCATGGTGCTCAGGCAGCTTTACAGATGTTAATTAAGCCTTGTGCCCTTCCCTAGGGATGCACTGAGGTATTACAAATAATAGTATTACCAGGAGCATCAGTACAGACAAATTAATTAAGGGTAATATTTTAAAGATGGAAAGCTGTTGGGTCACACTGCCAGCTGGGGAGATGGGCAGCCCCCCCAGGATGGGCGAAGCCTGCTCGCCCACCCAGTGACCCGCTTCGGCCAGGCAGCTGCGGCACTTGCAAAGGCTTACCCTGCCTTGCTCCCGCCCTTCGTTTTGCCCTGACCACAGAGGTGGCTGCTTGAGGCGGGTAGAGCTCATGCCCTCTGGGAGGACGTGATGTTTTACTACCATGCAAAGAAAGTGCTGGGAATCCCCAGCTCTGGTGACTGGTCCAAAGATTCAACATGCATCCCCGCTCTGTTCTCCTCAGTGATTTCAGGATGCTGCCAGGAATTGCACCAATGCAGACCCCTTCCCTGAAGTTGCCTGCTGAGACCCTCCAGTTTGAGGAGACAACAGCAAAGTCTGAATTGAAGCTCTTGGTAATTACAAGGTTTTCTTGCTCTGGGGATTTGGGGAGGAGAGGAAGAATTGCCTTTCCCATAAGGGAACTGGCACTTTTGTCTTCATAATTCAGGCATGTTTGTGAGGAGAAATGGCAAGACGGGAGATTTCCCCTCTGCCCCGCTCACAGCAGGGAGAGGAGGGGATCTCCCAGGCAGCCATCACCACGCTGCACACCACTGCCCTGGACATCAGATGTAAAGACCTCCCATGAGTAAATGCTGCACGGATGCTCCCCACTTGGCCAGGGGAAGGAGACAGAAACTTTGCCAAATGTTTCACCCTGCTTTTATTCAAACTGTCTGGTTTCAGTGTCAGGGGGAGGATACGGCCATAGGTAGAGCATGAATCAATCCGGCAGTGATCACATTCATAGTTATTTTGGGAGACCAACTGTTTGCATGTCGCACCATCCCTCGTGTCCAAAAAGAGCAAATAAGGGCAGTGGGAAAAAAAAAAATACTGCCTTGAGATGTGATGCAGTTAAAGGTCGGATATGATCTGGTCCGATTTCCTGCGATTCTCTCCGCTCAGTGAGCCCACGTGGATCCCAGGACAACACCGCCAGCCGCCAGCAGCACGGGCCAGCACAGGAACAATGGCCGGTGCACCCGTCCCGTGCCAGCAAAGAGCCCTATCAGATCTTGTGAGGAAAGAGGGGGCTGGCCGGGCTCCTGCAGCTCCCAGATACGGCCGTGCATTGTCTGGAGCGTTTATTTCCACCCAGTTTTGGCAGCCAAGGACCTTGGGATACTTGGGTGAGGCAACTCCTGTTGTGCTAGACTTCCATTTTCCTTCCTCTTCTTCCTTTTAAACAAAGCCATTATCACTGCCCTGATCTTACTGCCGGAGAGGGTGAAGGAGGGGCTCACGCTGCCTGCGAAAGCCCTTCCCTTCTCGGCACGCTCGGCCCCTCAGTTCATCACCTGAGAGCCACGGCAGTGAGGCGCACGTCGAGCAGGCGGCTGCGGATGCCACTAGGCTGCATTCTTGGAGCACTTTTGGAAAAGTCTGTGGCTTCTTCAGAAAGACCAAAAAGAATACATTTATTCCAGCCTAGCAAAGTCCTAGCTGAGACTAGATGGACAACAGACCAATGGTCCGCATGGATTTGCGGTGGGGCAAAGGAGGAGAGGAATCATGGGTCTCCAGCCACCAAAGAGGGGATGAAATGGTTCGGCTTGGGGCACCTGGAGGATATAGCACAGAGGAAAATTTAATGGGAACACTGGGTCACCTCCCCAGCAGGCCAGCTTCTTCAGAAAGGAGCAGCAGCACATCGCTGGAGGTATTTGAGAACAGCCTTGGCCAAGGCCCAAGGCGAGAGTCTTTCCAGACCCCTAATCCAGCATCAGAAAAGCATGAGCTAAATACCACTCAGTACCAGAGAAACGACGCTTTCAGGAATGTGCTCTTGCACAGGTAATTGGTGCAGGCAGTTTCTCTGCCTGACTGTATCTCTGCCTGCTCCTGGGAGCTAAGATACTCATTAGCTGGAGCAGTCACCAGCACGGTGTACACACACATGGTCAGAGAACACAGACCAACCCATTTTTCCATCTTAAACTCCTCAGATGCTTTCGCTCATCTGGTGCTGCTGTTTTGTTCATCACTCCTCTTTCAGTGTGTTCCCAGAGTGTGCTCAGCCCTTACTAATTAAAGCAAGGGTAAGGAGAGGCAGTGATCTGTGCGTGGAGCAGACATGCAGAAGCATGGATGCTGTGAGTCAGGGAATGCTCCTTGCCAATTCTTCACATATGTTTTTGTACTCACTCATTGTTTGGCTGCTTTATTTTTTTTCCCAAAGAGTTAAGCAGATGGATGGGAGCACTCACTGGATGTGCCCACAAGTACACTGAGCCTTAGAAAACCCACTCCGTACCTCGGTGTGAAAGCTCTTCAAAGGAGAGCAGAGGTGGGAGGGTCTTGCTCTACAAGCAAGAAGTGTGGTGAGGGAACTGGGAGGCAGATGAACAGCTAAATGGGAGACTGGTGGTCTATGTCTGATGTAAGCCACCAAGTCCAGGAAAACCAAAGGTATGTCATGGTTGGAATAAATCCTGTTGCCTGGAGTGAGAAGCTGCAGCAGCTTATGTCCTGGGAATTAAATAGTGTGGTACGGAGTGCTGGCCAAGTAAGGGCTTTGCACAGGAGTTCCTCATGCTCCCAAGTAACATCATCAGTGAGGCAGAGGACAGTCTTAAGCACCCTCTAGAGCTTCTGGGCATGGCTCATCACAGCCTCAATCATCTTTCCAGGTGCCCTCCTTCTGCAAGAGCATCTCTGGATTCCCCTCACCTCATCCAAAGCTGATCTCCACCCCAGCTGCAACAGTGCCCGAGTCACCACACCAGTGAGAGCAGCCTCTGAGCCCCAGCCCCATGCTCCCAGTGTGGCTTGGCCTCCCCCACTGAAGTCTGCACACACTGCTGCAAGGGATCCTGGCAGCCCCTCCTCCCAGAAGTGGCACCCGAGGGGCACCCCCACGGAGGGGACCGGAGGGCTCTTGTCTCCGGCATGGAGCAGCACCTGTGCCCATGCCCATCTGCAAAGCAGCCCTGATGGCGGGTGGGAAAGGGTCTGAGTCATGAACCCACCGAGTCGAAGGTGAAATGAGGGAGAAGAGTCACGCAGCATCCTCGAAGCCCAGAAAAAATTCCACACAATGGTCTTGTTTGGGTACCTCATCTGCAAAAGGCTTTGCAGAATAATGTGAACCCCATGCACATGATCCTCCGACTGGCCAACTCTGATGGTGCTTAAAATGTGCATGCAGAGAGAAGGATGCAGGCAGATGCAGGAGGCATGACGGAGAGAAATTAAGACTGAGACTAGCTGTAACAGAACAGACACCTCGCATCGGATCAATGTCTGCTTTAATGCAGAATATTTCTGCCTCACAAATGTCTCATCGTTTCAGGCGGGCACCAGGTTTTGATGGCAGGATTGTTCAGTAAGGTTCATGTGAAGCAGCTGGACACAGGCACCGTTCCTGGGCTACATTTGTGTAGAGCTCTGTAAAATGCTTTAACATTCTAGAATAAAAGGCCCCATTTTCCTCAAAATGAGGGATTCATGGTGATATTAACACTCCCTTATCACTGTTGTCGCTGCAGAAGCACATACACCTCATCATCTGCAGCTTGCCAGGGAGAGAACAAACCGTCTTCCCACACTTCATTTCAGAAAAGTGCCTGCTAACATTATCTACACATGCATTAAACAGGTGGAGAGAGATGCCAACGTACAGATATGGCATTAAGCTCAGCCAGAGAGAGGCGGGTGCTGTGCTCAGTTACAAGTGGGCGTGCGAAAGCTGAGAAATATACCTAAATAATACTCCACTGTCACTGGTTTTCTACCCATCCCATTTCTGGTTTCTCTCAGTGACCATGGGAAAAAGCTTCAGGCCACCCAACATGCAAATGCAGCACACAAGGGCAGCTAGAGGAATCATGTCCAAGCTGGATGATTTTCTGAAAGTAGGTACGAACCAAGCTTCTGTTTTTTTCCAAGCTGCTTGGAAAAAACATGATCTGGCTCAGGCCCTTATTCTGCAACTCAACTCAAACTTCAGCTGATACAGGCTGAAAATGTTTGGTTTGCTCTTGCTTAGAAAGACACATCCAATAGCCTCTCTCCCACTGAAGCTTTGTTTTCATCTCAAATAGCAAGGTGCAATGAGAAAAGCCTTTGTTCTGGCACTGCGGTTTTGGTTCAAGCAGAGCCAGGAAGCACATGAAATCTCAGGGGAAGGGAGATCTTTCAAAGTTTTCCAACCTAATCTTCAAACCAAAGATCTGTGCAATACATCCAGATGAGCTGCCTGAACCACTCAAAACTTGCTAACCTCTTGAGACTCATTGCCAGCTCTTCCAAAGCCTTGCCTGATATTCTGCGAGAAGTGGCACTGAGGACCAGCTCCTGACTGAGGAATATGGCACAGCTCCACCGACTCCATTTAAACCACACCAGACGGCCTCTTCATAGTCATTAAGACTTTCTAAATACCACAGAAATGCCAGAACATGCATCCAACTGCAGCAAAGACATCAGCCTTGGCCAAGCTCAGTGCAGTCTCGTGCATATGCTGCTCACACATGGACGTTACACTAACATTATGTTTTCAAGGGTCAGCTAAGAGCTGTGTGTTTTGGTATGGATGCAAAACTGCTGGCCACAGCTACCAACGAAAGAAATGTCAGGGACCCTTGCCACAGTCTGACATACAAAGAAGATTAAAAAAACCCCTAGCCATACAGTTTGCCACAGAGCACCTGCTATTTATCCTTGAGGATGAATACGTTGGTACAGCAGGAGAACAAGACCAAAATTCTCCAAGAATGAACCAAATGAGCAACACACAGACCTGGCATTTCCTTCCCAAGCAGGCCAGTAATTGCACATGTTTTTAACATGAGTGCCTGGGAGTTTGTGAAGTCCAGCAGCACCACAGTTCTTCTAGTAACGCCAAGCTATGTGGCCCAGAAGAGACAAGACTGTAAATGATCCCAGATATCCCAGTACATCCCAGTTCCACCTGCTTCACACTCCTCCAGCCAAGAGATGCTCAGCCACTCACTGCACAGATTATCCCACGTGACCTCAGCACCCAAAATTATCTACACAAGACTGCTAGAAATTCAGACCTCTGCTTGGAGGCTGCCGCACAACTATCCCCTCGCCTGCTCCCCGCTCCTCCCGGCTCTGGCCTCAGCCCGGTAGCTCCTCCTGCCTGGTACACACATACCAACTGCAGCGGGAGCAGCGAGGCTCCCACCTCTGCCAGGGAGCTATCTGTTGTTAGCTGTAAACAGTAAATCATAGTACTTGTCAGTGCAAAGTGAATAGAAATGATCTTTAAAGAAAAAAAAAAAAAAATGCACAGAATTTCCTGTACCAGCTTAGTTTGCTACATTGCAAAATGGGAAGGATTTCAGTTTTCCTTCTGAAAGTTGGATACAACTGGAGAACCATCCACTGGGCATCATTAGAGGCCACAGGAGCCCTGGGCACGACCTGCTTGCCCTGCGAGGTTGAGCCTGTCTTGTCTTCAAAAGCTCCTTGGCTGCACAGCGATACATGGGCGCTATGGACATCACCCAGTGCACAGCAAAGGCTGCGCTGCCCCAGGAGCCTGCAGCCTGCCTGTGCACGTTTCGTTGGTAATATGGATCTCCGAGTCTCTCAGGGAAAGGCATGAACAATCAGAAACTAAACTAGTTTCAAAAAACCCCTAAAAAAAACCCTAGGGAAAAGCCAATGCCTTGGGAAGGGGCTGAGTGGGATAGCACTCCCCCTGCCCCATGGCAAACAGATGAAATGGGACCTGGTGAGCCTGCTTGATATGCAATTCCTCCATACAAATGAAAAAAACAGGAGAAATAAAATGACTAAGAATGTGGGATGCAGAAACAGAGCTGTTTCTAAACAGGATGCTTTTAAAGCCTTCCAGGAGGCATGTGCTGGTTCTTTAATCCCCATCAGTTCATTTATACCTAGTAACTTTTTACTGCTACCCTATTACATCAGGTCCTGTAGGGACAGAAGATGGTGGTGGGAGAAACTCAGGAAGTTGGAAATTTCAGGGAGACAGAGTGGATGAGTTATATAGGTCCCTTCTGTCACCAGCTCTACTAGAGTTCAACTCTGGGTAAAACACTCAGATGCTTGAATATTTCTCCTAACTTGTGCAACCCCTCAAGCCAACAAAACTGGCTAGAAATCTGGCTGCAGGAGCTTGCTGGAGATCTCACCTCCATTCTGCTTTCAGTCAGGCCAGAAATACCAAGAGATGAGCTGGTCTAATCAACAGTGGGAACGGGGCAAACAGGCGAGAAAAACCTTCCTCAGCTGCCCAAAGGTTTGTCACTACTTTGTTTGGCAGTTGAGTATCACTGGGGGCTTGGAAGGGGTTTCATGTTATCTGCTGCCCAGCAAGGCACAGCAGTTTCTTAGGTCCAAGAGCTCTGGTTTACGGCCTCTGCTCTGCTCTTCTGCTCCAGGAATTTTACACGATAACTGAGCCAGAGTCAGGCTCGGCCAAACCTCTGGCATAATCAGAGTGAGGAGGGTTGCAAATGTTATTAATGCTACACACATACTAGACTCAGGAAACATATTCCACTGAAAAGTGTATTCAGGGCTGTCAATTGGACTAGCCCGGCGTAGGGTCCCACCCTCAGCTCAGCAACACTGGTGGGGTGAGGAACAGCTCCACCAAGGGCACAACACACCAGGGAGACATGGAGAGGGAAAATCCTCTGTGAAATGCAATTTTTTTTGTCTTTTGTTGGAGTAGTTGGTGTGATAAGGCTGGGTAGAGTGCAAATAGCAGTCAGACAGGAGGCTATTAGCAATATTCATTTCAAAAGAAGATCTTTGGGAAGCAGCTATCACATGTCCTAGAGGGGACAAGCCCTCTCAGCCCACTGGAGGACCACATGCAGAATATCCCTTGCAAAAATGGGTCAAATTCAAATTAGTGGCAATTCCCAGAATGTCTATTCATTTACCTATATGCAACAATGCTCAAACTCTGCCTACCCCCATTTCTGCACCTCACGAGGAAGAGCTGCAGGTAAGGATCAGCACTGAGGCTCCATCCTGGAGAATGGACAACTGGGGTACTAAGGCCCAGGCTGCTGAGAAAGGGGGAATGGTCTTTGGGCACAGAAATACACACTATCTTTCTACTATCAGGAATGTTACAGAAAAAAAGGGAAGAGCGTGTGAGAAAGATGCATACAAAGGAGCAGAGAGAATGTAGAAAGAGGGAGGGATAAAGTCAGAAGGGAAAGGAAAGACAAAGAGGAGATAAAAATCAGAGGCAGAAGTGAACAGAACACTCTTAGAGGGAGCGGCTTTTCCCCAAAAGCCCAGCAGTACTGCTCAGACATCTCCATCCCCCTTGCAGAGAAGCAGGAATGCCTTTTCCCACTAGCACCATTTTGTTCTTGCTCTGGTTTTTCCTCGCCTGCTTTGTTCTTTCTCCTTACAAGCTCTTGCCGAGGGTAAGCGTTAATTCTTTCCAGGTGCTAGTGTCTCGCCATCCTGCCGTTCCCGTGTGGCTCCCCGCTCTCCCTCCCACGGCAGCTCCTCCTCAGCTTTCGCCAGGCAGATTCTGCTCCACCTCCCTATGGGGCAACATCCTGGGAGCCCTGGAAACAGCTGGCTATTCCTAACCCTGAAAAAATCAGACCTACTTATTGCTTTGGGTTGCAGCACTCAGCTTTACTGCGATTGATTTCTCATGAGGAGTTTGTGTTCAGAGAGGGCACCCTTCCCACCCACTGCAGGACGGGCCCCCAGCCCTGCTGGGGAGGGCTCTGGCAATCAGCTGGAAAGGGCTCCTGGCCATGGAGGTTACAAAGCCTGACGGGTCTTGCTTACAGCCTGAAAGCAGCATGGACCATTTCCCCTCTGCACAGGAGGCAGCTTGGCAGATCCACGGGGAGATTTCTGGGAAACTCATCCAACAGCAAAACTCCTAAAGTGCTGCAAAAATGGGCTGGAGATGTTGGGAGATGAGACCTCAGCTCCCCGCTCCAGGTGAACACACTCTTGTGTGAGCTTTGCAGTTCCTGGAAAAAGCTCGAAAGAAGTGGAGAAGCAATGTCAGGCCAGGAAATAATATCAATTTCAGTTAAATGCTTTGGCATCCCAGTAAAAGTTTTTTGAGGGGAAGGAATGGTTGCTCAGGCTATGGGCAGCAGTTCAGGACATTCACAAATGGGTTCACATGACTATAATAAAAATTAGACCAAGTCAAATCACAATAGGTGGTCCACGATATAAAATCTGTGGAGTCAACAGGTAGGTGACACACAGACTCTCTTTCCACCAGCCCAAAAGGGCTCAGAAAAACCCACTGGTTAAGGGACAGGTTGGAGAAGGCTGTCCAGAGCTCAGAAGAGCCTCCTGCCATTAATGTATCTGAATGTTTGGAAAGGAAGCACAATAAAAAGACCACTTAAACAACTCATCGGCTGAACAGCTGACAAAGCCAGGCAAGAGGTCTGCCAGCAAGTTGGGGTCTTAATGTGTTTGCAATTCATTAGCCTCCTGCTTAGCTCCTAGCAAGCCAGCAAGGCCAGGATTCAAACTTGAAATACCTGCATCTGCTCTCATCATGTCTGCTGCTTAGTGCAAACATTTATGTTTCTCGGCATATAAAATAAATAGGCCCATGTTCCAGGGAAGCCTGTCAGTGCAACGGCAGGTACACTTTATGATGTGTGAGCAGGACTCCCAGTGCACGGGTCCAGGACTGGGGAAAAAGGAAGCAAAGCCTCCTTGCAGAGCAGATGACCCCTTCGCCGCTTGCTTTATTTGCCTCTCCGGCAGACAGACACAGCTCAAAGGAGAGGTCATCTCCCCCTACACTCCTAGAAGGCAAACACATCTGGGGCTGGCTGCTGTGTGGGAGACAAAAGCCTTGATGTGCTCGGCTGCTAGGATGCACAGCAGCACCTTCCCCATCTCCATGCATACATCCCCAGCATATGGGCACCCCCAAAGCAGCAGTCACCCCCAGCCTTAGTTGTACGCTCATCCTCTAAGGGCCCATT